CAAGTTTTGTATACCGTTACCTAATTAGCGCATTGGCATTTGCAATGGAGTACATGACCAGTCTTAAAATTAATGACAAATCTAATTATATTCGGCACATTTGATGTGCAAATTATGTTTTTTAAAAATTCTGTAAGGTCAGCAAATGTGCTGTAACAATTGACTGATTTATTTGAATTCTGTAAAATGTTGAATTTGAAAACCTGTTTTTGTTTCAAATAAACTGTATTATGTACATTTCATCTCATGATTATCTACTTTGTAGAATGTGAATTATTTGGTTTGAATTGGACACCCTACTAGGTGATTGAAATTAGCTTGTTTGAATATTCATTTGAATTTTTATTTTAAAGGTAAGTGCACTTTTTTTGGAGACGAGAAATACCAACAATCATACTTATGTATCCTTCAAATGCTTCGTGGCACATAGAGCAATCACAGAACGTCTCCATTCTGTCCAATCAGGTGCTGCAACTCTGGCTTCCACCAATGACTTTGATCCAGCTTTGTGTCTTTTCTTCTCTACAATGTGTCGCCAAGTTGTTTTGGGTCTACCACGTTTCCTTTTGGAGCCCTATGTCAATGCTGTGTTACAGATGCTTGTGGGTTCCTCCCTTAAGGTGTGCCCAATAAATTTGCATCTCTATTACTGTAGTGCTTAATTTCTTTATTCAAATCTTGGTTAGTAATTTTTCCATTCCTAACATGGTCTTGTCATTTTATCTTCATTTATCCTTCTTTATTTGAAAAGTATTGAATTTTTTTTTTTTTTGCATTTTGTCATCTTCCAAGTTTTAGATGCATATAACAGCACTGAGAACACCAATGAAACCATCCACTCATTTGCAGAAAATTCATGGTAGCGTCTGAAATTCGTTTGGCTTGCAATTGTGTTTTTACTGGTCTGGTTTCATGCAAAAAAACAAATGCCTTTTATGTCAAACAAGACTTCATGTTTACGTTTGTTGTTATGGGTGCTGTCAGCTTTTGATAGTATGTTTATAGAGGGCGCTTTCCAGCCAAAATTGTCTTCAGCCTGTTTGTTTTTTTTTTGTGAGAAAAAGTATATTTTGACACTTTTTTTATTTCCATCTTGAATGCAGCTGTAACTAAATAGTATCGTCAGATTTCTCATACCACTACACTTGTTACTATGGTAACAACTCCCCAATATGTCTCACAAGTAATCTCCAATATAGACTGATTATCTGCTTTTGGTGACAATAGGTTTATTCTATACTATAAGCCACTGGCCAAAACGTTCATTAGTATTATTGTTAAATATACAATAGTTCAGGTAACACACTATACAGGACAAAATAACGCTCTATTATGTATAGTCATTGAACTATAGTTCCATGGTATAGTGGAACATTTTGGTACAACCCCCATTAGCTCGATAAATTTATCTGGATAATAATCAGGACTACACGTAATTTTAGAAAGAAGGAAAAATGATAATCCTCGATATAGTTAACTTACCCAGAATGGACATTTTCAGTTCTAGCAAGTTGACAATGTTTTCCCGTTTCGATGCGCGGACACTCAAAGTCATAGCAATAATATATAGTAATTTATGTGTATGACTTGAATATATTTTTTCCCTAAAAAATAGTTTAAATCTCCAATATTGGTGTATTTTCTATCACTTGTTGATTTGTTCCTGCCAACATTGGAAATCCATGTCACACGATCTTTGTTTAAATAATTTTGAGGAATGTCGATTTGCAACCAACTCATTGATTTATCCAGGCCTCACCATATGCGTTTGTTCATTACTATGCCACACAAGGACTTAATAATGACAAAAAATAGAAATCTTTATTTCACAATGATGAACTTAAATCTCATTTATAGTTGAAAAGCAATAAATTACATGAAAAACTTTATAAAAAGGTTCGAGTCAAATTCAAGATGTCATGTTCGTCATTTTTTTCATCGTTATGAGTTCTTACTATTAGTATACGAAAACCATACACAAATTTGGTACAAAGTCCCGGGACGATTTTTCGTTATACAAAAATCTCAAATGTTATGAAAAATGGACAAAATTGGCATTTTTACACTGGTTTGTATACTAGTAGTTGGATTATTTCTTCAGAAAAATGCTAGATGACACAATCATAAATTGAAATAAAATCTTAAACGAAGCTGTTTTGATGAAATACGAGTCTCTATTTTTGTTTCCAGACTGAGTGTAGATTTACACCACGACTCCTAAATGTACAGATTGCATAACGTGTCTAACCAAAATATTTATCCCAAAATATACAATGTATTATGGTCCAATCCCACCAGTGAAAGATTCGAGGTGCTTACCTGGATATGTTTACCCAAGGCGTCAGTAAACAATCATAGCCCGTTTTTCCCGCTCAAACAAATCTGGCGAGCGATAGGGTGTGGGTGTCTCCGCTTCAGTCACGTTTCAATTTCGCGCCAATGGCCGTTGGCTTTGTCATTTTCTTTACACGCGATAAACAGACAAATGACGGTTAAAAGCGTTAAACCGACTACGGACGTGAACAAAAAGGATTCATTGTTTTAACAACAGCTTTAAGACCTCCTGTGAACAACGTCGTAACCTCACTTTAGTGTTGTCAGTGTAAAGGCGCGAATGTCGTAACCACACGACTGTTACGTAAGATGTTCGACAACTTTTCGTTAGTAGTAAAAAAAACATACTCAGTAATCCTTGAAATCCAGCAAGAGGAGTTGGGATACTGTAATGTTCAAAACTAAATACATATAAAGATATATTGAAATTAAAAATATATGGCCACCGAACTAATTTTCCCACAAAACAACCTTGAACATTGATCAAAAATGGGTGTTTTGAGTAGTTTATAATTCCTATGTCAAAAACATTCCATCATATCTCAATTTTTGAATAAGAATATATGTATAAGATTTCCATGGGATAATGTTTACATAGATTTTTGAATTATTTTACATGTTTTCTTGAAAAGAAATCCTTCTTTCTCCGCAAAATTGAATTGCATGTATGTGAATCAAAAACATTCTTTAACTACCATATTGCTATGTTTTTACGAGCATTATTGTTTTATGTCATTGTTTTAATGCAAAAGAATAAAACAAGGGCAGTTTCATGAGAATTCATATGTAACCCCATGTATCTGATTTTCAGAAGCGCGACGTACGATATGGCAAGTTCAATCAGAATTGTCCGATCCATTTTACTACGTCAACTGGCTCCCGACGTATAATAAATTGCAAACCGAAACGTGACACCGACAGCGTGGTGCTAGCAGACAGAAATGAACATTTCAGACGACATATATGCGTCAATAGTGTGATACAAACATTTTCATAATTATGCGTGACATTCTCGCCAGATGTGAAAATGGATTTACTTCCATGGTCTGAACATGGAACTATAAACCATGAACTATAACAGCAGTAAATCGAAATGCAAAACTTTAGATTCTCCACATACAACTGATCTATTTCTTGTTGTCGATGTTTCTTTCAATAGAATGCATCTTCAAATACCTGAAACTGCGTAACAATGGGGTGAATAAAGCGTAGTTTTATTCATCGTATTCTATATTTTGTTCCCATTTCCGGGCTATTATTATATTATAATACCTTTAGTTTGTACCTATTGAGCTTCCATTGTACCGTTCTGAGATTGCGCAGACGACGTATTCACATCCGGGTATTCAGGGTTATTTTTAACCTGATGCTCAACGCTGATTGGCTAACAGAGATTCCAGCGGGCAAATTTGAACATACTGTTACGGGAAAAAACAAGCATTGTGAGTACCCGGCTGTGTTGTTGTCTGTGTACCCGCTGTCATCGGACTTAAGATCGGGACGCTATTTTCGCTATACTGGATCAGAAAAGTCAGAACTATTCTCAGGAACTCGTTTGCTATATTTTGAAGACTATTGCAAGCTGCGATCGAGTATATAATAACGAATAATCGACGATCGTTTGTCGATCAGCGTAAGAAGTGTAACGTTTCATACTGATTACTCCAGTATCTCACCGATCAAGCCTGTGTTTCCAGCTCAGTGAAAAGTTTCATTGACAAACATGTCGGATATTAATAATCGCGAATCCGTAATTATGGAGCGATCAGTTGATTGTTTTGACAGCGACGACGTGTTCACGAAAAAACGATCTCGCGTTCCGAACTACTCCCCGCCATCAACAATGAAATCACCCGGGATTACCACACCTGATTCAAAGGCACGGCGCGTGTGCGAATATGACCACGAACTTGAGCCAATTGTCAAGGAGTTTGCAACACTAGGAGTCGACCAGAAGTCCGAATCTTTAAAATTACCAGGAAAGGAAAGTTCAGTTTTTCTTACGCCCGCTGATACCCCTGATTCGGAGCCACAGACATTCCGCGCACCGTCGTTAAATCGTGTGCGAGAATTTAGCGGTGAAAGATCTTCGGATCTCAGGTACCCCACTCCGGAGTTCACACATACCACTCCATGGCAAGTAAAAAAACAGGCAAGGCGAAGCACGGATATACCTAAATTTACGCTTGATACCGACAGTGACGATATTGTACCCGTGAATCTCACGGCTTCAAAGGTGGAAATTGACAATGCTGTGTCCCATGTTTTTTCCAACAACCCGAGGAATAATGTTGACATGGATACCCAGCTGACTGCAGTTGGATCCACATATAAATTTTGTGGTTTGTCAGTGAAAAAGCCACACAATAGCACAGTATCGATATGGGAACATGGCATAATTGGCAGAAAAATTGGTCTAGAAAAGGTTGACATCATGAAGGAACTCTATTCGAAGACACTGCAATTTTTAGTTCTGCAATACCTTGAACCAGTGGATTTATGCAAGTAAGTGATTGTGCTGTGATTATCTTTTTATCTAACTTATAGTATATAAATTCATAATATAATACTTGCTATGTGTTCATACTGGGCAGGAGATTTCCCCAGGCAAGTTTAATATATATTCAATTTATTGCTGCTAAAAATTAATAATTATAAGATGTAGTAAACTACATATCATAACTATGAATTGCTCTACTTATTTAAAAAAAAAACACTAACTAAAAACACAACCATACCAAGATTCTGTGTTCTGACTCTGTATTTTTTTGGACAAAACTGGAAAGTGAACACTGGAGGCTACTTACTCTATTTCTAGGTGCATGCACACACTGAATTAATTCTTGGAAATTTTGTTTAGTAATATTCATAACCCAAAAGGCTTTGAGGCTTTCCTTCAATTATCGGTTGATTTACTGAGATGCATCCGTTAATACGCTGTGATTATTTGCCTTTATGTGTAACTGATCAGTGTAATGTTTTTTTTAGTGTTTGCTGTGTCAGCAAAGTCTGGAATAATGCTTGTATATCTGAATCTAGAATTAACAAAAAGAGGAGGGAGTATATCGATATGATAGAAGAGCAAAAGGTAAGATTTTTTTATAAAAGAGTATTATACTTTTTTGTAGAATAGGCTACAGTTGCGTTATGTTTGTAAATAGTTAATGCATAAGTGGAGTACATTATCTGTCATACAATACATCAACCACGCATGGATTTTGTACTGACCAATCACGTTCAACTGATTGTGTACATGTGTCTTGGCTTTCATTGTTTGATTACACTTACATATTATAGAATCTCATAGATTTAGTTACAATGCATAATCAAATTATAAATACATTTTGAACATGACAAGGTTTGATAAATGACATCTAATATCAAACTCCCATTGAGTTGTGTATATCATAACTTACAATATATAAGCCCCTTTAATTGTTGAATATCTAAATCACAGGCAAGCATAAGATAACACTTCTTGTGGACAGGGCATTCTCTAGATAATTGGGATACTGTAAGATACTTTATTTTTGCTTGGATTTAATTTTCGCTGAAGAAATGATTCAATGAAATTAACATTAGGGATGCTGAAAGCCAGTTTTGTCCTTGAGTAATTCAAGATGAAGGAAGCTGGCCAATAGATTATTTTTCGCTCAAATTGATCACCTGCCACAAAAATTGAATATAATCTTATAGTTCAAAGTCAAAATGCTGATCTTTCCGAGGGGAATATTGAATCAAATATGTACAGCACATTATTAAGTTAGTGGAAATACCCCTAAATAGTTTCATGTTTATTGACTCCCACCAATGCAATGTTTTGACGCCACACAACACTATCACATTTGATTTCACACAAAACAGAATCTTGCGGTGAACGAAACATGGCCTATTGTACATGAGCAGTTTTATTTGTGAAACCATACTTTATAACAATACAATTATGTTTTTGTCATTTGCAGGAAAACACCCAAGTGAAGTCAGTTCATACACAGCTAATGACACCTTGTGATAAACCACTAGGTTTGGTACAAATGGCAGTGAAACCTACGCCTTCTGATTACAAAACCCCAACTACCGCCACCAAGTCGGATCTATTCATGAAGGTAAGCTTGATTAGACAAGACGTCATCTATTATCGCGAGCCTTTGAATAATAAACTAGTGAATTGGTCTGGAGGGCTGTGGGTGAGCCTTACATACAAGTCAGTCTGCGCATACAAGTTCCCATGGTAATGTACTGAAGTCATGGTGACAACCAATCAGTGATGATACACAATTCTGTGCCGTCTATGTATTATGAAGCGATTCACTATTCTTGAGTGCACCTTCCCATAATTCTCTGCAAGTATGCTCAGTAAATTTTGATTTAGCATGAACTGTCGTTCAGCCCCAATGAAATTTATGTTGTTTACAGGCTTCCATTTATTTACTAAATTTACTGTAATTGATCTAGGATATATAAACCCAAAATCACATTTGTATATTTTCACCTTGGAAACGCCTCTGTAATTTACGTAAGCGCATACTGTGGAATACTCTATTTTCGCTGGAATTAATTTTCGCTGAAAAGGCTTTTTGGGCGTTGTGTATGAAATTTATTTTCACAGAATTTTTATGAGTTTAATGTGAAATATAGAAAAAAAGTATATTCGCTGGATTTTATTTTCATGGAATCATCCCTTCAGCGAAAATAGCGAAAATAAAGTATTCTACAGTATACAACTAATAAAGCAATATGGTAGTTCTAAAATTCTTAACAATGTTACGACTAGTATGATGATGAGAAAAAAATATATTATTTTATTGATGGTTGTTTTTATGTTTTTTTTAATAGGTTGCACAGTCTTTGTTCTATGACGATACCCTCACTAAATGTCCATTGTGTGAATCACCGGCCAGAGTTCTTCGTGCAGAGCAACGAGCGACATGTACAAGAGAAGCCTGCTCTAACGATTTCTGCACAAAGTGTCATACACCTGCACATGGTTCAAAGAAATGCCCAGGGATCAAGGGTCAACCAGTGAGGAAATCGCAAAGTACTGTCGGAAGTAAGAAGAGCAAGAAGAATCTTAGACGACTTTGACCCATTCTAAACATTGGTACATCCCTATAGTCCAATTAAAAGACTATTCCCTTACAGGAATCCAGGGGGAGGCTCATCAAACACTGCCAACACAGCTCACACAAATCATTGCCACATATTATTGTATTCTATGTTTGTATCGTCCAATATTTAGTTTGTTTTGTTGTTTACAATCATTTCAGCTCTTTCTGAGACCAGTACTAACAACACGATTGTTTTTTTTTTTAAATTTCTGACTCCAGTCATTATTCTGACTGACTTGGGTGGCTCTATTTGCACTATGTAGCAACATAACACCATCTAGGAAGCCCACATTTTAAAAATTATTGTAATATCTTGTAAGTCTTGAATGTTTTTTTTTTATAATTTGACAATTTTTATACCCAATTTATTTTCTTTCTTGCTGTTGTCTTGTTTGGTGCATGTGTTTGTCTTTGTATATTGTTTTTAGGCTAAAAAAATACATTCTTAATTTGAAAAAAAAAATCTGTAAAAAAATAAACCTTAGTTGCTTGGTGTTTTAAGTTATGATTGTTAAAATCACTGCCATTTACATAAATTTTACAAAATCTCAAGACAGCGTCATTTGTTACCAGCTGTTGTGTATAAAAGTAATTTTGTATATTTTTGATAATGCTCCGACATTTATGTTTTTTTTTTTAAAGTTACAATTTTTGAAATCGGAAATATACAATAAATTCTTTGGACTATTTTGCATACAAACATGACTATGTGTCTGGTGTAAATGTCTTGGTATTCTCTTCCAGCATTATGACAGTAACTTTAACCATTTCACCACCAGAATTTTGAAGTCAACAGACAAAATTATATTTGGCTATGTATGTTCCAATCTTCTGAAGAAAGTGCAGACTATAAACAGGATTATTTTGTGAATTTGAGATGAAAAGAAGGAACTGGTGGTGAAAAGGTTAAGAATGGGTTTTTCAATGATTGCCCTTTATCAGGACTGATTTTGAAGGAATCCCGAGTCAAAATCGAATCTTCCAAAATCAATATATACCTTGTATTGCCTGGCCTCATAAGGCTATGGGAAGTGCGCCCTCACATCAGGGCAATAATTTCCCATAGTATATACCTCGTAACGCTAAAAAAAGTGCACCCTTACATCAGGGCTATAATTTCCCATATATACCTTGTATTGCCTGGCCTCGTAAGGCTATGGGAAGTGCGCCCTCACATCAGGGCAGTAATTTCCCATATTATATACCTCTTAATGCTAAAGGAAGTGTACCTTTGTATCAGGGCTATAATTTCCCATATATACCTTGTATTGGCTGGCCTCGTAAGGCTATAGAAAGTGCACCCTCGCATCAGGGCAATAATTTCCCATATATACCTTGTATTGCTCAGCCTCGTAATGCTATAGAAAGTGCACCCTCACATCTGGGCAATAATTTCCCATATATACCTTGTATTGCCTGGCCTTGTAATGCTATAGAAAGTGCACCCTCACATCTGGGCAATAATTTCCCATATATACCTTGTATTGCTTGGCCTCGTAATGCTAAGGGAAGTGCGCCCTCACATCAGGGCAATAATTTCCCATATATACCTTGTATTGCCTGGCCTTGTAATGCTAAGGGAAGTGCGCCCTCACATAATTTCCCACATTACACCTGCCCCAGTGCTTTCATCATTCAAAACAAAACGTGTCATTCTAAATTATGTCGTGTGTTTGACGTCGCACCGTGGTAAAATTGTAATTACACTTATAAGGTATACAATAAAACCTTTATGGACTGGATACAACTTTTGCTGCCCTCAGTCGTATGGCTTACGTGCCTTCGCAAGTACGGGCACTTCAGCTGCACGACCTTGGGCTGCAAAAGTTGTATCCACTTCATAAAGAATAAACCAACTTAGATGTCACAGATTTTTCTTGACTACAAGCAGACAAGAGAAATATATCTTTGGTACAACACACTATTCTTATCATTTTGACAGCTCCATTTCTATAGTAACGTAGTTATTCACCAAACCATATAAACCAAAATATTGTCTTTCCAGGTTACCATGGCAACATTATATCATGTTTGTGTTTTAGGATAAATCAATACATGAGCATAACTATCAATTTTATTTTATATACCACACATCACAATTGTGCTACACTCACTTTGTGTTATAGTGCATTATCAATAGAGTGAATCAGAAAAGATACAAGTTTTTACAATCCACTGCAAATTCCAATGGAAACTTGTCTAAAATTAATTTAGCCAATCAATTTTACTCAATGTGTCTCAAATACACTTTACTTCCTGTGATCAAGAATCATGGCTCCGTTCCACTCCTGTTATATCATTGAAAGCCTGCTGTCACTTTCAATAGCTACCGTCTGAATTTGATCGAATGGCAGTGATCATTACACTGCCTCATGTTCTGAATCTGAATCCATAGCTGGTATCTCATCTGCATACAAGGCAGGAGTCTGAATCTGAATCCAAGGCTGGGACCTGAACCCATAGCTGGGATCTGGATCCAAGGCTGGGGTCTGAATCTGATGCTGAGATCTGAATCTGAATCCAAGGCTGGGATCTGAATCCAAGGCTGGGATCTGAAACTGAATCCAAAGCTGGGATCCGAATCCAAAGCTGGGATCCGAATCCAAGGCTAGGATCTGAATCCGAGGCTGGGGTCTGAATCTGAATCCAAGGCTGGGGTCTGAATTTGAATCCAAGGCTGGGGTCTGAATCTGAATCCAAGGCTGGGATCAGAATCCAAAAATGCAAATTTTGACAATTTGTTGTTGACATTTTCGGTAATGACGTTAACTCGTAATAATGAAAGCATAAACAAGATTATTCTTGTATTATTTCTCATGAACCAAGGGTGTGGTAAATTACAATGGAAGAAAATAAAATCTTCAACCCCTTGGATATCGGAAACAATCCTCGTCACCATGTGCAAAATGACGCTGAACAATTGTTTTTTTTCCATGTTTTTTGTTTTCTTCTTTTAAATGTTGAATACAACAATGTTAATTTGGACTAAAATTATTAAATTACAGAAATATACATAAAAATGTTGCAAAAGAATTTTTCTCTATTTGAATGCATCTCAACGATGTGAGTAACAAATACGAATGATGTAAATAGTTCAGAAATCAAGAAAAAACTTAAAAGACAAGGTTACGCTTCTCTTAAAAGCAAACTAAATCATGTTTTCTGTTTCTAATAGAACAAATACAGTAGACACAAATTTAACTATTAATATTGTTAACTAATTCCTGTCCACTGAATTGAGGTATTTACGATGTCATTCTCGTCATTCAACGAACATAGGACAACAGTCTTTTTCACGTTCGATGCTAATCTACCATATGCTACCGCATCCAATGCACTGAGTCGCTTCCTGAACGGTAAACATACCACAACATAGAAAGAGTGGAACAGAAATGGGTCACCTGAAACAGATCAAAAAATAACAAGCCATGCATGGCATAGTCACCGTTAGTTATCAAATTTAAGATATATAGTTTTGTTTATACATGTAGTAATATAGCTGGAATATAACTACTGTAGAATACTTTATTTTCGCTTGGAATTTATTTTCGCTATTTTCGCTGAAGGGATGATCCCGTGAAAATAAAATCCAGCGAATACACTTTTTTTCCTATATTTCACATTCAACTCGACAAAAATCAGTGAAAATAAATTCCATAAAGAATGCCCAAAAAGCCTTTTCAGTGAAAATTAATTCCAGCGAAAATAAAGTATTCCACAGTATGTCAGGAATATGATTTTTTAACATTAAAATGATTGACATTTGTATCTGATCATCAAACAAGTACTTGTCCATATTGAGAGATATTGTTTCTGGAACAGCATTCAAAATCAGCCATTTTGAATACATGTATATATATATAACATGATGTATAACGAATATAAAAAATTTGAATATAATCAGTCAAAGCATTTAAGAGATATGGCTCTAGAAGCCCAATCATTAAAACAAAATGGCCCCCAGTCAGCCATTTTGAATCCAATCTGAAAAATAAAATGACACGCATCAGGAACCTGTAATGTCTAATGTATGTTATAAGTTTGAACGAAATCCATTCATAAATGCCAGAAATGCTTGATATTCGAGGATTTTTTTAGCACAAAAATAGCCACCATTAGGGCACTTTGAAAAGGATCGTCAAACCAATATATCCATATATCTGTGACATGATGTATAATGATTATTAAAAATTTGAACATAATCAGTCAAAACAAGTCAGACACATGGGTCTGGAGACCCATTCATTAAAACAAAATGGCCACCAGACAGCCATTTTGAATCTGATCTGAAAAATAAAATGACGTGCATCAGGAACCCGTAATGTCTAATGTATGTACCAAGTTTGAACGAAATCCATCCATAAATGCCAGAAATGCTTGATATTTGATGATTTTATAGCACAAAAATGACAACCATTCGGCCATTTTGAATAGGATCGTCAAACCAATATATCTGTCTATCTATGACATGATGTATAATGAATATTTAAAATTTGAACATAATCAGTCAAAACAAGTTGAAGATATGGGTCTAGAAGCCCAGTCGGCCATTTTGAATGTTATCTGAAAAACAAAATTATTTGCATCAAGGTCTCATAATGTCTAATGTATAAATCAAGTTTGAACAAAATCCATCAGTAAACAGCCGAGAAATGCTTGATTTTTATGATTTTTTAGCACAAAAATGGCCGCCATTCGGCCATCTTGAATCAGATCGTAAAACAAAATGACGTTCATCAAGGTCCTATAATGTCCAACACATATACAAGGTTTGAACAAAATCCATCTGTAAACAGCCAGGAAATGCTTGATTTTGATGATTTTTAGCAGAAAAATGGCCGCCATTCGGCCATCTTGAATCAGATCGTGAAACAAATTGACATGCATATGTATGATATCATGCATGATGTATGTGTGAAGTTTGATTCTGATTGGTCCAGGCATTTCTAAGATACAGGTCCGGACGCACGCACGCACGCACGCACACACACGCACGCACAGACACACACAGGTCAAAACATAAGTCCTCGTTTTCGGACTGCGTCCAAACGGGGACTAATAATATAACACCGGGGTCACATGAAACTGTAAACTTGATTGGCACTATTTCAGACACTTATGCATGTGAAGCAAAATAAGAGATTCAACCCAGAGTTAATTTTAACCCTCTACTCAAAAATTCAATTGAACAGATTAACTCTGTCTACCTGACTAGTTCAGCTCTGAGACAGAGGGCTGGTTTTGACCTGGTTTACTCTGTTAAACCCCAAAATGAGAGATAAGTATGGAGAAGGGTTTTGGGTTAAAACAGCGCCCTCTAACGATGACCCAATTGTGGGTGAATAATTGTGAATGCAGAGTCATATATACACCTCTGGTTTGGTAAATTACCACTCGTCTTTGTTAATGAAACTTAAACAATCATGTATCTGCATGTATAGAGATTCAATTAATGTGGCAACACCAGATAAATTATCTTTTTTTAACACTTTTTGGGTTTAGAATGATTTCAATGTGATATTAAGGTAGCTCAACAGTGGTAATAGTTCCGAGCAAGCACATTTCTGGTCTTGATTTTATTCTATAACACATCAGAGACTACATATTCAGCAAAGCATTATTCAAATACACAAGTAGTGCTTGGCTGGTTCACGCATTCTGATTGGTAAATCACGTTTTAATTCTTTGGTTACCCAACGTCAGTGGTTACGCTTATGGTATATTGAGCAGGGCCAAGTTACCTTTTACTCTCAAAAGTAAAAAAATGTAATACTGTTTCTTTTATTATCATTTTGCACACAAATAGTGAGAAATGCCAGAAAGTATCATCTCAACATTGAATTCTAAAGCTGGTAGTCAGAATGAGCATGGTGTTATTGCAGTAATACAGACTTGTTTGTTTGTTGAAACTTGAAATGTTTTAAATTCAAGTCACTTAGTCATGTTAATCCAGGGTCAGAATCCTGGCCCAGTGGAACAATATGGTAATTACTGTAAAATACTTTATTTTCTCTATTTTTGCTAAAAAATGATTCAGGGAAAATAAAAAACAGCGAATATACCTTTTTGTCCTATATTTTACATTCAACTCATCAAAAATCAGTGAAAATAAATTCCATACAAAACGCCCAAAAAGTCATTTCAGCAAAAATTAATTCCAGTTACCTGCATCTTACTTGCCACTCACAAGGGAGGCCGGGAACCAGCAAAAAGTAGTACATGTTCTGGATATGCTATGAATGTGTAATAACTAAGACAACAAATTACCTGGATACACAAGATAATCACCACCAAA